CTATGATTTCTCGTACGAAATGATACCGAACATCAATGTGCTTCGTCCTTGCATGATAAACTTGGTTCTTCGCTAATTGAATAACACTTTGACTATCACAAAAAATTGTGATACTTTTTTATCCAATACCAAACTCCTTTAGCAACCCCTGAAGCCAAATTGCCTCCTTCACAGCTTCTGTAATAGCCATGTACTCTGCCTCTGTTGTAGACAAAGCAACTGTTGACTGCAAAGTAGACTTCCAACTAACTGGTGTTCTTACAAAAGTAAACACATAACCAGTAGTTGAGCTTCGTTTGTCCAAATCACCCACAAAATCTGAGTCACAATATCCAACTACAGATTGATTGTCTTCCTACTCAAAAAATAACCCAACATCTACAGTATTATGAATATAGCATAGAATCCACTTCACAGCTTGCCAATGCTCCTTTCCTGGATTATGCATATATCTGCTAATAACTCCAACAGCTTGTGAAATGTCACGTCTCGTACAGACCATTGCATACATCAAGCTACGAATAACATTTGTGTATGGTACCCTTGACATATACTCCTGTTCAGCTTCATCTTTTGGCGACATAATAGTACTTAGCTTAAAATGGGGAGCAAGTGGAGTACTAACTGGCTTAGTCTTTTCATCTATGCCAAAACGTTGTAGTACTCTATTCAAATATTCTTTCTGAGATAAACAGAGTTTTTTTGAATGTCTATCTCTTATTATCTCCATGCCAAGAATTTTCTTTGCCTCACCCAGATCCTTCATCTCGAACTCCTTCTTCAGTTGAATCTTCAACTTATCAATTTCTTCCAAATTCTTGGAAGCTATCAACATATCATCAACATATAGGAGAAGATATATAAAGGAACTATCTTTAAGCTTGCGCAAATACACACAATGATCGTACTTGCTTCTCTTATACCCTTGCTGCAACATAAACTTGTCAAATTATTTGTACCATTGTCTAGAAGATTATTTCAATCCGTAAAATGATTTTTCAAGTTTGCACACCATATTTTCCTTTCCAGCAACTTTGAATCCTTCTGGCTGAGTCATGTAGATTTCCTCCTCCAAGTTTCCATGTAAAAACGCAGTTTTTACATCCATCTGAACTAGTTCCAAATCCAATTGTGCTACCAAAGCCAACATAATTCTAATGGAGGAATGTTTTACAACTGGAGAAAACACTTCATTGTAATCAATTCCCTCCTTTTGAGCATATCCTTTGGCCACCAATCTTGCTTTGTAGCGAACATCTACTTGGTTAGGAAATCCTTCTTTCTTTGCAAATACTCATTTGCATCCAATTACTTTCTTTCCCTTCGGGAGATTGGCACATCTCCATGTATGATTCTGATGAAGGGACTGTATTTCATCATTCATGGCAATCCTCCACTTATCTTCTTCTGAACTTTGGACTGCGTCTTTATAAGTGGTAGGAACATCATCAACTACAATTGAGGCGGCACAAGCAACCGTCTCTATAAGACGAACAAGTTTTGTTATTGTTCTTTTTGGTCGGCTGGTTGCAATTGATTTAAGTTGTTGTTGAGGTTCCTGAGTTGGAATCTCCCTTTCTACTGGCTCTTCTTCTAGAGGATAATCTTCATTTGTTTCCTCTTTTGCTTCTTGTGTAGGAAAAATAAATTTTCCCTCAAACTCCACCTACTTAGAAGCACCCTCATTTTGTTTGGTATCTTCTGTTACCTTACTTACCATAGCAGATTCATCAAAGGTAACATCCCTGCTGAATATTACTTTCTTTGTCATAGGACACCATAAATGATATCCTTTGACTCCGGAAGTAATCCCCATAAAAATAGTCTTCTTTGCCCATGGATCTAATTTTGACTCTGTCACATGATAATATGCAGTTGAGCCAAACACGTGCAAAGAATCATAACCTACAGCAGGCTTTTCATACCATTTTTCAAATGGTGCCTTGCCATCAATAGCAGCAGATGGTAAGCGATTAATGAGATGGCATGCATATGTAACTACCTCAGCCCAAAATTCTTTGCCCAAGCCAGCATTGGACAACATACACCGTACCTTCTCCAGCAAGGTCCGGTTCATACGTTCTGCCACTCCATTCTGTTGTGGTGTATGTCTGACAGTGAAGTGTCGGACGATGCCATCATTTTCACAGACCTTATTGAAATGATCATTTTTGTATTCACCTCCATTGTCTGTGCGAATACACTTGATCCTCCTGCCTGTTTGATTCTCCACCATCGTCTTCCATTTGAGAAAAATTCCCAACACTTCATCTTTGCTCTTCATTGTATACACCCATACTCTTCGGGAAAAATCATCAACAAAGGTTACAAAATAGTGCTTCCCACCCAATGAAGGTGTTTTGGAAGGACCCCAAACATCAGAGTGTACATAATCCAAAATGCCTTTAGTATTATGGATCGCTGTACCAAATTTAACCCTTGTCTGTTTCCCTTTGACACAATGCTCACAAAACTCCAAGTTGCAAGCCTTTACTCCTTTTAACAATCCTTGATCTAATAAAGTTTTCAAGGATTTTCCTCCAGCATGTCCCAAGCGCATGTGCCATAGCCCGGTTGTTTCTGCCTCTTTTTCGTCACTGGACGTTACTGTCGTTGTCCCAATAACTGTACTACCGTGATAACGGTACATGTTATTGTTCTTCCAATTGTCCTTCATTACCACTAGTGCACCGGAGCATACTCTCATCACTCCATTTTCTGCAATGATTTTGAACCCTTTTGATTCTAGGTCTCCCACAGAGATGATATTTTTCTTCAAACCTGGTACATATCGAACATCTGTTAATATTCTGATCATTCCATCATGGTTCCTTAATTGTATTGAACCAATTCCATATGAGGTAAGAGGGCTGTTATCCGTTGTGTGGACGACTCCATATTCTCCTTCTTGAAAATCCATGAACCAGTTCCTGTTGGGACACATATGATAGCTACAAGCCGAGTCCATCAACCAAATGTCTGATAATGTTGATGGCTCTGTTGTAACTAATGAGAAGTCTGAATCATCACCATCAGCTACATTTGAATCCATAATGGCCTTTTCATTGTTATGTTTGGCCTTATTCTTCAACTTCGGACAGTCTTTCTTCCAGTGCCCATTTTCTCGACAAAAGGTACATTCATCTTTGCTGGGTCTAGATCTTGACTTGGATCTTCCTTTATTTGTCCTCGTTTGATTTTGAGGATGACCACTCACAACCAGTGCTTCTCCTTCTCCGCCCTTCTATTTTTCTCCCTTTCTTTGTTCATAGCTGTACAAAGCCGAACAAACTTCTCTGAGAGAAGTTTCGTCATTTCCATATAGTAGAGTAGTTTCAAGGTGCTCGTACTCATCAGGAAGTGATCCCAACAACATCAAGGCCAAGTCACCATCATCAAAAGTTGCATCCATATTTTGCAAATCTGTGACCAACTTATTGAAACTGGTGATATGTTCATTCATCGTGGTACCAGGAACATAGGTGAAGTGAAACAGTCTCTTCTTCATGTACAATTTATTTTGACTGTTTTTCTTCAAAAATTTATCCTCCAGTGCTTTCCATAATTTACTTGCAGAAGTTTCCTTTGTGTATGGATATTTCTGCTCTCTAGCAAGGTAGGATCGAATGGTACCGCAAGCAACACGGTTGATAATTCTCCAATCTTCTTCTCCAATAACATCTGGTTTCTTTTCTTCAATGGCCAGATCTAGCCCTTGTTGAAAAAGGACATCTAGAACCTCGCCTTGCCACATCCCAAAATGTCCGGACCCGTCAAATATTTCGACCGCAAATTTCGCATTTGACACAATTCTTGTCATAAGCGAAGATGCCAATGATGACGTATTGTTGACACTTGATGTAGATTCTTCTTGTTTATTGTCTCCCATCTTTGACACAAATATTATTTAATAGCTGACGACACAAATCAAGATTATTTCCTTTCTGGTGTGGAAGATCAGACTAAGCTGCAACCACAGAGCATACTCAGACAGAACCTTGACTCAGTTACCAAGATAAATCTTTTCTGATGTGGAAGATCAGACTATGCTGCAACCACAGAGCATACTTAGACAGTACCTTGGCTCTGATACAAATTGTTGCGGAAGCCAAATGTATATAGTGTGAATGAGTCACAACTACTATACCAAAAATTATGACAGTCACCAAATAATAAATAAGACAATAAGACAACAATAAAAGAACACCAGAATTTACGAGGTTCGGGCAATTTTGTCTACTTCCTCGGACACAACCAATATTTTATTCCACTCCAAAAATACAAGTGAAATAATACTAAAGAGAGAAGATACAAATGCCTTAAGAAGATAAGAAGGCAAATGAGAGATGTGTTTAAATTCTAAACATTAGGTATTCTTTTATAGGGTGAAGTACCAACCCAATTTACTTCCCAACCGATGTGGGATATTGACATATTCAACAGTTTATAGTTATTGCTTTTACATCTATTTTTCTATTTCTTACGATGTTGTTACTATTTTTTATTTCTATTGTTGTCACTGATCTATTGCCTATTGTTTATTTTTCTTCTTCTCGAGACGAAGGTCTTTCGGAAATAGTCTCTCTACCCCTCCGAGGTAGGGATAAGGTCTGCGTACACTTTACCCTCCACAGACCCCACTTACACAATTTTACTGGGCTGTTGTTGTTGTTACTCTGAATGAAGCAGGGGAGGTAGATGTCACGGGTGGTGGTTAGGGTGCAGATCTGGCTGGATTTAGTGATGCTCACCGAGCATTGGTCGTGGGTTCCTCCATTTCCAGGTTGAATAGACCTACGTCTCCCCAATTATGCCAATAACAATTTCATGTCAAAATGGATGTGAAGTTTTGTCTAAGGCAAAAGATATTCATAATCAACAAATTGAGTTGAGCAAAAAAGTTACAAACCAGTTGTGAACATATAACTTATACGAACTGATGATTTGATCTTGTATATAAGTTAAACCCTATACACCAAATCATCTCCTATGCAAGTAAATAGACACAAACAAATGATCTATTTGATGCAAAAATTTATTAATGTTGCATAAACAATTTGTTTCATAATAAATATTATATTCAAACGCATGGTTAATAGTCTGAATACCACACAAGACACATAAAACAAGAGTTATTATTCACATCAAAGGATTTCAAGCGTGGGCAAGAGCGTCGAATAGCTTCAATGCCTTTTGTTGTGATGGTAGTGTGCGTCAGACTCAACTCCTCTAACAATGGGAACTTTTGAACTGCTTCAACCAAGTCTTTGTGTACCATATCATAGCAACATGCAATGCCAAGTCTTTTCAATTTTCCTGATCTGGTAAACAAAAACGACATGAATTAATGGATGTGCCCACTGAGTTACTGACTGAAGCAATATCACCAAACACAACACTAGTACAGATTACAGAAGACTAGTGCAAGGTATATAATAAGTAGGATAAAACAATATACTACTTAAATAAAAAAGAAAAAGAAAGAAAAAACAAAAAAATGGATGCGTCATTTGGTATGATGGACAAGCAAAAATAATCGTGGGATAAATTTTAGTATCGCCTAATCCCTTGTTTGGTTACTAATCCTCGGATAAGTTATCTGAGATTAAAAATAGTACTGGGATAACTTATACCTGCCAGAGGGTGAAACAATAATCCTAGAATCAGTTATCCCAGGATACAACAGACCTAGTAAAATTAACTTTTGCAGGATTAAGCAAGGAATTCAAAGTGCTTTACAACTAAATGACTAATGTATCATGAACACTATTCATGCAAGACATTGTATAAGATATGTACAAGATGATAAGCGGCAAGAAATACACTTCACAGATTCCAGAGTATACTAGAAGGATGATAGAACTCAGACGCCAAGGCTCCTGGCACAGCAAGATCCATGCTCAGTTAAGCTTATTGCTGGAGGAACATCAACATTCGAAGAAAAGAGCATAAACTTCTTTCTGGTGTATAGGAAATTAGAAGTTCATGGGACATACATTGTATTCTGTCAACTATACATTTAGTAGCTCCCAAGATGTGGATACAAGCTCTGTTAAACTTTTTCCGGAATAAATTTAAAGAAAATAATGACGGACCTTTCTCATGTATTTATGTAACATAAACCTCTAGTCTTCAAAATAGATTATGAGAGTGAATTGTGACTAGGTTTATCACAATAATCTCACCCTCTCTTTCCTTATCACAATCTGCAGCTAAGCAGAACTCTCACACAAGAGGCTGGATCCAATACTAAAACATTTATTTACCACTCTAACCCAGTGTCTAGTTAAACAGTGTCTATGCCATAGGATGGAAGGAGTAACATATTAGGAAGTTTCTCCAACTATTCTCCCTTTTTAACTTCTATGCACTGATAGCATATAAAAAAAAGTTACAAGCCACTTAAAAGCCTCAGCTCTTTAGTTCAAAACATGCATTTTTTATTTTAAACAAAGAACTGAACGGAAAAGGACGTAACCATGATGGCACAACAATAAAAGCCTAAACAAAAGTCTCGAATATGATTTATATCTAAAAGTGCATATAGTTCAATTGAAAATAAAAGAACAAGCAGAAGACACTTTATATCAGGACTATGGCAAACTTGAAAAGACGAACCATTGCAACAATTAAAATATAACAAAAGCTCCTAAAACTTCATTTGGTAACAATACCGGATCGAATCCAATTTGTTTTGAGCTACAATTTGTAAGAATGCATTTGAATATCCTAAGTCCCAACAGCGTAAAGATGTAGTAACAACTATCTTTTGCCCATCAGAATAAAAACCAACCTCAAGTAGGGCTGTCACTTTAAACTGAAAATAGTCCAACATGAAAGGTGCTCACGGTATATCTTTATGGCAACTGAAACTGAGCCGACGCCACACTAAAATATTTAAGCATTTATGGGAATCGACATTCATTCAACTACCTAATAGTTTTTCTGGGGACAGTAAGGACTATGTGATAATCCACCAGCTCTGGCTCCTCCTTCTCTATACACAGCTTGCCAGGGGCGGATTTAGGGGGGCGCAAGGATGTTCACCCAAACACCCTTCGCCGAAAAATTACACTGTATATATAAGGCAAAATCTGTTTTTTATCTCTATATATTAAGTTTTGAACAACCTTAACACAATCCAAAAGTGTAGTTTAGTGGTCATGGGGGTTCAAAATCTACATAATGTCATGGGTTCAATTCCCACTAGCTACAAAAAAAATTTTTTGAACCCCTTCATGGAGATCCTGCCTCCGCCACTGCAGCTGGCTACTATCAGGATCAATGAATTCCTTTGGCCGTAGACTGAAAGGAAAGGCCAGAAGAAAGAGAGACAAAAAGGAAAACAGTAAAAGAAAAACCTACTTTTCTTCTCTCTTTTAACCCTTTATCTTCTTGATTGTGGTTAGATGTATCCTTTCAGATGTTTCTACTGTTAAGGTTAATGAAAGATAGGTCTTTTTATACAATTTTCTCAGAAAGATACTATATTGTCTTGCCCCTTAAAATTCTTCCATAAGGTCATCAATTTCTTGACAAAATTAGAGACTTAAAATATGCCTTTAAATAGAGGAAGGGGAAAATAACCAAAATTGTTATTAAGAGATTTTTGGAGCAAAAAAAATGAATATATTTATTTTAACTTATACATGCACTGATATTGTTTATATTAGAGCCACTAAATTACATCGACATTAGTTAGTGTAATTAATCAGTCTGCCCAACAATACACATTCTGCAGCCCTGGCTCCTTTCGCTGCTAAATTCACTCCCAGTTTTTAAGCAGGGTAAAAAACAAAATCTACTAACACAAGACAATTGAAGGAGCCAGAATTTTACCTCTCTGCTACATATGCAAGCAACTCATCAGTGGCGAAGTACTCCATGTTGATATCAACCAATTCTCCTTGGCTGCGATCAACGGCACGCCGACACATTTCCTGTGCCTTAAAGTAGGACACGAGGTAGGTATCACAACAATTATTCATGTTAATGACTCGCCACATGGAAGGATCTTTGCACAATCTCCTCCACGTAGTGCACACTTTCTCTGCTGTCAACATCATCCCTACTGCCCCCAGCCTCTGTAATATGTCCACCCATATAACTTCCGGAAGTTCCAACCATCGCGGCCTTTTCTCTATCGCCTGATTCCTCTTCTTACCTTTCCGTTTTCCTTTTCCTTTTCCCTTCCTAGTCATAATCTTCCAGGGTTTGATGTTGGGGGGAAATGGAGGAGGAGGAGAGCGAAAGCTAAATTGGGCAGGTTCGAGTTGTTAGATAGTCAATGGGGAAAGTGAGGAAGTTGAACACGAGCGGAAGCCTTATTGGCTGCGTCTTTCAAGTAGTGGAAAAAAATACATCGTTTTGGACTTTTGTTGAAATTGAAATAATGATCTATTTGTTATAAATATATTATATTATGGATGTTCATTTAGTACTCCGTTGTAAATAATCTTCCTNGGTATTCTGAACTTATCTCCCATCTTCTTATAGCCGAGCAACATAATAGACTATTAATGAAAAATCATGAAAGCCGACCTACTGGTTCTTGTCCATTCCCTGAAGTGAATGAGACGAACTTCCACCAGGCTAAACGTGGAAAAGGTCGTGGCCCCAGTCGTGGTCATGGTCGTGGTCGGGAAAGAAACTCTAATCATGGTAATAATAATGCACCAAAGAACACTCCTCAACACTAGCAGTGGAAAAGGAAGGAACAAAAGCATGAAACGGTGCAAACACCAAATGCAGAAAATGCATGCTATAGATGTGGAGAAAAAGGGCACGGGTCACGTACCTGTCGTACGCCAAAGCACCTGGTTGAGCTTTATCAAGCCTCCCTAAATAAGAC